ACGGTGTGCAGGCTATGTCCAGGATGCGACAGGGATGCATCCTGACTTTTAGGTATTTTTAGGCAGTTTCTGGAACACGGTGTGCAGGCAATGTCCGGGACGCGTCTGGGCCGTGGTAGTGATGTAGCCTGGTTTCTTGGAATTTCTAAGCAGTTTCTAGGACAGGGTGTGCAGGCCATATCCAGGATGCTATACGGACACATCTTGATTTTCACGTAATTCTAGGAAATTTCTTCGACCCAGTGTGCATGCAATTTTTCGGGATGCGTCGGGGCTGATGTAGGGATGCGGCCTGATTTCCAGGCATTTCTAAATAATTTTTGGGACACGGTGTGTAGGCCATGTCCAGGACGCGACAGGGACGCAGCTTAATTTTCAGGCATTTCTAAGCAGTTTCTGGGATGCAGTGTGCGGGCCATGACCGGGACGCGTTAGGGACACGACAGGGATACAGCCTGATTTTCTGGCATTCCTGGGAAGTTTTTGAGCACAGTGTGCAGGCCACGTCTGGGATGTGTCCTAGCCACGGTAGGGACGCAGCCTGATTTTAAGGCATTTGTAGGCAGTTTGTGGGCACGGTGTGCAGGCCATGTCCAGGATGGGCTGGGACGCAGCCTAATTTTCAGGCATTTTTGGGACTCCGTGTCCAAGGCAGAGACGGAGTTTGATTTTCAGGCAATTATAGGTAGTTTCGTGGATACGGTGTACAGGCCATGATCAGGATGTGGCAGGGACGCATCCAGACTTTCAGGTACTTTTAGGCAGTTTCTGGAACACGATGTGCAGGCAATGTCCGGGATGCGTCTGGTCCGCGATAGGGATGCAGCCTGGTTTTCAGGCAGTTTTCGAGACACGGTGTGCAGGCCATTCCAGGATGCTGTAGGGACAAATCCTGATTTTCACATTTTTCTATGTAGTTTCTTGGACACGATGTGCAGGCAATGTTCGAGACTCGTCTGGGCTGTGGCCTTATTTCCAGGTAATTTCTAGGACATGGTGTACTGGTGATGTCCAGGACGCGGTATGGACGTAACCTAATTTGAAGGCATTTCTCATTAGTTTTTGGGTCACGGTGTGCAGCTCATGTTAGGGACACGTCCGGGCCACGGCAGGGATAGAACCTAATTTTTAGCTAATTTTGGGCAGTTTTTAAGCACGACATACAGACCATGTTCGGGACTCATCCTGGCCAGGTAGGGATGTAGCCTGATTTTTAGGCATTTCTAGGCAGTTTGTGGGCACAGTGCACAGGCCAAGTCTGGGACACATCCTGGCCATGGCAGAGACAACCTAATTTTCAGGCATTTCTAGGCAATTTCTGGGACTCAGTGTGAAGGCCCAGTCTGGGACGCATCATGGCAATGGCAGGGATGCAACCTGATTTTCAGGCATTTCTAGGCAATTTTTGGGACATAAGTTTTAGGGTTTAGGGTTTTTAAATTAATTTAGAATTAAAAGCAGAAAATATATACGTGATAAAGAATAATGAAAATAAAATGTAGCTCAATGTTAGAACCCATGAATAATAAAACTAGTCTACACAACACAACCAAAATTTCCACTATCGCAGTGCTACAAATAAACCTCTCCGTCGCCTTCAAACCAGTACCATCGTTAGTTGGGGCTGGTGCCGGTGCATGGTAGTGGTGATGGTGATGATAAGGAGAAGGTGCCTGCACTGTAGATTATTGGCCAGAGCTATGTTTATAGGACAGAACCATAACCCCTAGCTTTTGACCGTTCTGACAATTTTCTTCAGCTACACAGATGAAGAAAAATGGACCTGATTTTTCCAGTGAAATTGTAGTTTCTCCATCATGGTGTAATTTTATTGGATTGGCATTGTTGCAGATTTTGTAGTCTTCCTCGGTCACTTCCGGCACTGAATCGATCTTGGAATCATACTTTAGAACTAAAGAATCTCCAATCTGAAAATGAATTTTCTTAGCCCATTTGTTGAACTCATCAACAGAAGATGGAACTGCCCATATTCACCGCCTACTATGAACTCTCTTGCTTCAAAAAGAACGCACAGCAAAAACACAACGGTCGAAAATAAGAAAATATTTTTGAGTGAATCCATTTTAAGCAAAAAAACGACAGATTTTCAAATAAATTTGAGTAATTTTGTAGACAATAGAATAGAAAGGTTTAGCGCTTCGAGTTTCGGGTTCAGGGTTCAAGGTCTAGGGCTTAGGGTTTAGGGCTAAGGGTTTAGGGCTTAAGGTTTAGGGTTTAGGGCTTACAGTTTAGAGCTTATGATTTAGGATTTAGAGTTTCTAGGACATACGGTGTAGGACATGTCCAGGACACAGCCTTATTTTCAGGCATTTTTAGGCAGTTTCGGGGACTTGGTGTGCATGCCATGTCCGGGACGAGTCTTGGGCGTGGTAGGGACGAAACTTGATTTTCAGGCATTTTTAGGCAGTTTGTGATCACGATCTGCAGGCCATGTTTGGGACACGTCCTGGCCGTGACAGGGACAACCTGATTTTCAGGCATTTCTAGGCAGTTTGTGGGCACGGTGTGCAGGAAATGTTAGGGACACATCTCGACCACATCAGGAGCACAAGAAAATTTTCAACCAAATGAAGGAAGTACGGTGTACAGGCCACGCCAGGCACCCAGGCACCATCCCAGGCATTTTGGGCAGTTTCTGGGACACAATGTGTAGGCTAAATTCGAGACAAGTCCGGGCCACAACAAGGATGCAGCCTGATTTTCAGGCATTTCTAGGGTTTTGGGCATGGTGTGCAGTCTGTGTTGTAGAAACAACTTGATTTTTTGGCATTTCTTGTCAATTTTTGGGTCACGTTCTGCAGGTCATGTCCGGGACACATCCGGGCACGACAAGGACAGTGCTTGGTTTTCAGGTAATTTTGGGAGTTTTTGGACACGTTGCGCAGGCCATGTTTGAGATTCGCCCTGATCACGACAGGAACGAACTTGATTTCCACGCATTTCTAGGCAATTTCTGGGATATGATGTGTAGGCAATACCCATGATGCGGCAGGGAAGCAGCCTGATTTTCATGTATTTTTAGGCAGTTTTTGGGACACGGTGTGCAGGCCACGGCCTAGACGCGACAGGGACGCAGCCTGATTTTCAAGCATTTCTAGGTAGTTTTTGGGACACGGTGTGCAGGCCATGAACGGGACACGTTTGGGCCACAGCAGGGACGCAACCTGATTTTAGGTCATTTCTAGGAAAAATTTGGCATTGCGTGCAGGCCAAGTTCGGGACGCATCCTAGCTGCAGTAGGGATGCATCCTAATTTTCAGGCATTTTGTTGGCTTTTTGTGGCATGATGTGCAGGCCATATCCAGGACATGTCCTAGCCGCTGAAGGGACACAACATGATTTTTAGGCATTTCATTGCAATTTGTGGGACTCGTTGTGCAGGCCATGTTCGGAACCCATCATGGCCACGGCAGGGACGGAGCCTGATTTTCAGGCAATTTTGGGTAGTTTCTGGGACACAATATACAAGCCATGTCCAGGATGCGACAAAGATGCATCCTAACTTTTAGGTTTTTTTAGGCAGTTTCTGGAACACGGTGTGCGGGCAATGTTCGAAATGCGTCTGGGTCGCAGTAGGGATTCAATCTAGTTTTCAGGCATTTCTAGACAGTTTCTAGGACACGGTGTGGAGGCCAACCTGATTTTCACGTATTTCCCGACAATTTCTTGGACATGGTGTGCAGGCAATGTCTGGGATACGTCGGGGCTACTGTAAGGATGCAACATGATTTCTAGGCCCTTCTAGGCAGTTTCTAGGGCACGGTGTGCAGGCCATGTCCAGGACGAGGCAGGGACGTAGCCAAATTTTCAGGCATTTTAAGGTAATTTCTACTACATGGTGTGTAGCCATGACCAGGACGCGTCCGGGGCACGATAGGGACGCCGCTTAATTTTCAGGCATACCTAGGAAGTTTTTGGACACAATGTGCAGGACACGTCCGGGACGCGTCCTAGCCGCGGTAGGGACATAGCTTGATTTTCAGGCATTTGTGGGCACAGTGTGTAGGCCATATCCGGGACGCGTCCTGGCCTCGACAAGGACACAGCCTTATTTTCAGGCATTTCTTGGCAATTTCTAGGACTCGGTGTGTAGGCTATGTCCGGGACGCGTCATGGCATGGCAGGGACGGAGCCTGATTTTCAGGCAATTTTGGGTAGTTTCTGGGACATGGTGTGCAGGCCATGTCTAGGATGCAACAGGGACACATCCTGACTTTCAGGTATTTTTAGGCAGCTTCTAGAGTACAATGTGCAGGTAATGTCCAGGATGCATCTGGGTTGTGGTAGGGATGCAGCCTAATTTTTAGGCATTTGTAGGCAGTTTGTGGGCACGGTGTACAGGCCAAGTCCAGGACGCATCCAGGCCACGGCTGGGATGTCACCTAATTTCCGAGCAATTTCTGGGACTCGGTGTGCAGGCCATGTCCGGGATGCATCATGGCCAAGGCAGGGACGGAGCCTAATTTTCAGGCAATTCTGGGCAGTTTCATGGACACGGTGTGTAGGCCATGTCCAGGATACGGCAAGGATGCATCTAGACTTTTAGGTATTTTTAGGCAGTTTCTGGAACACGATGTGCAGGCAATGTCCGGGACGCGTCTGATCCATGACGGGGATGCAGCCCAGTTTTCAGGCAGTTTTTAGGACATGACGTGCAGGCCATGTCCAGGATGCTACAAGGACACATCCTGATTTTCACATTTTTCTATGTGATTTCTTGGACACGGTATGTAGGCAATGTCCGGGACTCGTCTGGACTGCGACAAAGATGCAGCATGATTTCTAGGCATTTCTAGGTAGTTTTCGGGGCATGGAGCGTAGGCGATGTCCAGGATGCAGCCTGAGTTTTAGGCATTTCTCGTCAATTTCTGGGTCACGGTGTACAGGTCATGTCAGGGACACGTTCAGGCCACGGTAGGGACAGAGCCTGATTTTTAGGTAATTTCGGGCAGTTTTTGGGCACGGTGCACAGACCATATTCAGGACACGGCCTGGCTAGGTGGGGACACAGCTTGATTTTCAGGCATTTCTAGGTAGTTTGTGGGCGCGATGTGGAGGGCTAGTTCGGGATGCATCCTTGCTGCAGCAGAGACGCGACCTGATTTTTAGGCATTTCTAGGTAATTTTTGGGTCTTAGGGTTTTTTGAAATTAATTTAGAATTAAAACCAGGAAATATATACGTGACAAAGAATAATGAAAATAAAATGTTGCTCAACATTAGAGCGCATGAATAATAAAACTACTCTACACAACAAAACCAAACTTCCCACCATCGTAGTGCCACAAATAAAACCCTCCGTCGCCTTCAGACCAGTACCACCGTTAGTCGGGGCTAGCACCGGTGCATGGTAGTGGTGATGGTGATGCTGAGGAGAAGGTGCCTGCGCTGTAGAACCATAACCTCTAGCTTTTGACCCTTCTGGCAATGTTCTTCAGCTCCACTGATGAAGAAAAATGGACTTGATTTTTCCAGCGAAATTGTAGTTTCTCCATCATGGTGTTATTTTATTGGATTGGCGTTGTTACAGATTTTGTAGTCTTCCTCGGTCACTTCCAGCATTGAATCACTCTTGGAATCATACTTTAGAACTAAAGAATCCCCGATCTGAAATCGTGTTTTCTCAGCCCATTTGTTGAACTCGTCAATAGAAGATGGAACTGCCCATAAATTATTTTCATCGCCTACTACGAACTCTCTTGCTTCAGAAAGAACACATAACAAAAACACGACGTCCGAAAATAAGAAAATATTTTTGAGTGAAGCTATTTTAAGCGAAAAATTGACCAATTTTCAAATAAAATTTGAGTAATTTTGTAGACAATAGAATAGAATGGTTTAGGGTTTAGGGTGCAGGTGCAGGCTCAGGTTTCAGGGTCCAGGGTTTAGGTTTACGATTTAGGCCTTAAGGTTTAGGGCTTAGGGGTTTTTCTTTTTAACCAAATACCACTAGTGTGGTTTATTTTATATAATGAAAAGCGAGAATACAACTAGAAGAGGGGGCATAGACCTGACCTCCAGCAAATGTAAGTTGTAACAAATATCTCAGGAAAAATGCAAACAAAATAAACAGGACACGAACAAAAAACTAGTGGAAGCTACTCAAGGGTATTCCTAAGTGTAAATCTTTGGGTGGTAGTACATAGACATCAATCGGGTCTGAAACACTTTCTGATCATAGTAGTCTGCGTTGTCTAGCTCGCTCGTTGGAGTGGGGTCTCACCTACGTGAAGGAGCCTGCTTTGGTGAAAAGTACTGTTTAGATGGTGGTGCACTGAATGTCGGGAGAAAAGCGGGAGCGTCTAATCTCATGGTACTCTGTGCTACAACATTTGAATCATGGGACCTGCTGACTGTAGGGACATCGTCCTCTGTGCACGTAGTCTCCAAGGCCCATGCCATCTATGTCTCTCTGTATATGTTCTTTCACCTTATTTTGTGTAGGAGCTATTATAGAAAGATCGGGTGAAGGTGGTTAGAGGAACTTTCCTGGTACCTGATCCCTGTGCTGACTGAGTACCATCTGTGTGTGTCTTCAATGGTGGAGAATTGATATGTGTCGACTCAGGGGGTACATCAGTAGTAGCTATGGGAATAGGAGCTATGGAAGTAATAATAGGAGAAGTGGGCACCTCGATAGGAGCATTTGAGTAGGCTCAGTAATTGAATGAATATACGGAGGTGCCTCTGGATAAACTGTAATGGAGTAGATGTAGGAACTGCTGGTGCAAATAATGACTTTGTCACAACTGCGGTAGTAGTAGTGGGAAGCACAGAAGGCACTGCTAAAACTAGCACCCACTGTTTCTTTGGCTCCACAAACGTCACCTTATCTTTATCCTTGTCAGTCCTAGTAATAGGGGACTAAATAGGGAGATGCATAACAACTATAGGGGGAGGAGGAGGAATAGTAGTACATTGATCATAAGAATGGCCCAAGTGTTTACATTAGAAGCAAAAAAATGGTCACTTCTAATAAATAACTGTTTGCCAAAAGTCACGGTTACTGGCGCGCTCAATCAAAACACTCTCAGGCAACTTATGCCTCAAATTCACCTCAATACACACCCTTGCCTCACTAGGGCGTCTCAAGTCAGAGGTGGCCTCATCGAGGTTTAGGGCTTAGGTTTTTTTTTTTTAATTTTATTTTAGTAAAGACATCCACACATCCTTAATGACTTTTTAGGATCCACCAAGGAAGGTTGATGGGGGTTTAGGGTTCCCCAACCGTATTTATTTCATAAAAATCAAGAGTACAGGGAAGGAGGGGGCATAAACGTGACCTCCAAAAAGCAACAGTGCAACAACTAAAAAATTAAAATTGAACAAAGTAAATGAGGAAGTACTACTTCCTTGTACAAGAAAAATGCAATAATGATAGCTTAAACTACAAACCTCTAAAGCTGGGCAATCCATGTCTGTCGATCTGTACCAATGCCCTAATCTGTCGAGGCAGGTCGAGGTTTAGCACTTACGGTTTAGGGTTTAGGACGTACAGTTTAGGGTATAGGGTTTAGGGTTTTTTTTGCCTGAATTGCCTTTTAATAAGTTCTAACGAAGCAGCAAAATTCAGTTTTACAGATATTTGTAAAGTCATAGAATGTTTAACTAAGCTAAAACACAATAATTATAGGATAATAATTATTAACTAGATTAGAAGAAGCCATTGTATGGACTTAATTGAGGAGGCAGCCGAGAAGATGAGACCACATCCATCAAATTCGTGTCCATTGTGCTTCCAAATGTTGTACCTTGATCAATTGTTAGCAGATTTGTTGTTGAATTTACGTTTCTAGCATTGCCTCCATCTCATTGATATGAAAAGTACAACTCATCAGGATAAATCTGTAAAGCTTCAGTCTCCACACTTCGAAATTTAGAATTAAATTCCATTATTAAATCTAAATTCTCAGAAGGGAAAAATTTATTTCCCACAGGGTTTGGAGCAGAATGGAATAAGTCATTTTCCACATATTCTACAGCAGGCAATTGAGAATCAGTTGTCTGTAAAATCTCCAGGGAAGTGAAGAAGATGGTGGGATGATTATAATTTTCATCAATGTTGAAGCTATAAGTATTCTCAGATGTCCCTTCAGCCGGATTCATTGGTTGACAATGATCGACTGGAATTGAATCGTCGGACTGATTGTTTTCCAATAGAGTTTTCATGAAATCCAATTCATCATTGCATGATCGAAACTAAAAAAGGGTGTAGAGTCGTCATCATCAGAGAGTGGTGTGCTAGTGTTGGACGGATTTGCTGTAGTGGTGGTGGTGCCAAAATTTGAGTTAGTGGAGGTGGAACCATTACTAAAATATTTTTTTATGATGTAATCTTGTAATACTGTTAACTGTCTTCTATCTCCTTTTACTTTCTTTATCTTCTCCTTGAGATCTGCCTCCTTTTTGTAGCATTCCAGTGATTCTTTATTGAATTTTTAGTTCTTCGAGGAATGTACTTAGCTATCTCCGCCCATCGATTTCCTTGTCCTTCATGTGCTTGAATTAACCATCCCTCTTCATCTTCAGTCCAAATGTCCTTCTTGATAAGAGGACGCAGATGATTATTCCATCGCTCGCGACACTGTTTTCCCACTCTACCAACCATTTCTTCAGCTATTACAACCCATTTCCCCAATCCAAATTGTAGTACTAAGCTAATCAGTCTCCTGTCTTCTTCGCCTATCCACTGGCCTTTTATCTGATATCGGGAAGAAGAACTACCACCTCTCTTCTCCTTCCAATCAGGATTGACCAGTGCGGCCATCACATTTACTGAAAGATTTTCACCCGAAGTTTGTTTTTAATGTTGAAGCCCTTCCATGAAGCTTGGCTCTTCGGTGGTGTAATTACTGGTTATGCCATTTGAAGAAAAATTCTAAAATTGATTTACTTCATTAGAAGGAAAATGGTTTAGGCTTTAGGGTCTAGGGTTCAGGGTTTAGGGTCTAGGTCCGGGGTCTAGGGTTTAGGATCCAGGGTCCAGGGTTCAGGGGTCAGGGTCCAGGGCTTAGGGCTTAGGATTTAGGGCTTAGGGCTTACGGTTAAGGGCATGGGGTTTAGGGTTCCTGGGACACGGTGTGCAGGACATATCCAGAACGCAGCCTTATTTTCCAGCATTTCTGGGCAGTTTTTTGGATGCGATGTGCAGACCATGTTCGTGACGCATCATGGTCGTGAATGCAATTCGATTTTTAGGTATTTCTAGGTAGTTTATGGGGACGGTGTGTAGGCCATGTCCGAGAGACGTCCTGGCCGCAAACGCAATCTAATTTTTAGGCATTTCTAGGCAGTTTGTTGGCACGGTGTGTAGGCAATGTTCGGGACGCAAGTAGATTTTCAACCAAATGAAGAAAGCACGGTGTACAGGCCATGTTAGGGGCGCAGGCATGTTCCCAGGCATTCTGGGCAGTTTTTAGGACATCGTGTTCAAGCTAAATTCAGGATAAGTCATGGCCACGGAAGGGAAGCAGCCTAATTTTTAGGCATTTTTCGACAATTCTTGGGCACTGTGTGCAGGCCATGTCCGGGACGCATCCTAGAAGTGGTAGGGATGTAGCCTAATTTTCAGGCATTTCTAGACAGTTTCTAGGTCATGGTGTGTAGGCCATGTTTAGGACGCATCCGAGCCACGACAGGGACGGAGCCTGATTTTTTGGCATTTGAGGGCAGTTTTTGGGTACGGTATGTAGACCATGTTTAGGATGCGTCCTAATCATGGCAGGAACACAACCTGACTTCTAGGCATTTCTACGCAATTTCTAGGACATGGTGTGCAGGCAATGTCCAAGATGCGACAGGGAGGCAGCCTGATTTTCATGATATCTTAGGTAAACTCTGAGACGCGGTGTGCAGGCCAAGTCCGGGACTCGTTTGGGCCACGACAGGGATGCTTCCTAATTTTTAGGCATTTCTACACAATTTCTGGGACACGATGTACAGGCCATGTCCTGGCCGGGGTAGGGATGCAACCTTATTTTCAGGCATTTCTAGGAAGTTTCTGGGTCACAGTGTCTAAGCCAAGTCTAAGATGCATTAGGTACGTATCTTGATTTTCAGGTGTTTCTAGTCAATTTTCTGGTGTACGGTGTGCAGGCCATGAATGGGACGCCTCTGGGTGACGGTAGGGACGCAGCCTGATTTTCACGTATTTTCGAAAAGGTTTTGGGCACGATGTGCAGGCCACGTCTAGGATGCGTCCTAATCGTGGTGGGCACATCACCTAATTTTCAAGCATTTGTAGGTAGTTTGTGGTCATTGTATTCAGGCCATGTCCAGGATGCATCCTAGCCGCCGTAGGGACGCAGGCTGATTTTCAGGCATTTCTTGGCAATTTCTAGGACTCGATGTGCCGGCCATGTTTGGGATGCGTCATGGCCACGGTAGGGATGGAGCCTGATTTTCAAGCAATTCTGCGTAGTTTCTAGGACATGGTGTGCAAGGCATGTCCAGGATGCGGCGGGGATGCATCCTGACTTTCAAGTATTTTTAAGTAGTTTCTGGAACACGGTGTGCAGGCAATGTTCAGGACGCGTCTGGGCCGTGGAAGGGATGCAGCCTAGTTTCCAGGTATTTCTAGGCAGTTTCTGGGACACGATGTGTAGGCCATGTCCAGGATGCTACACGGACACGTCCTGATTTTCACATATTTCTAGGCAGTTTCTTTGACACGGTGTGCAGGCAATTTTTGGGACGCGTCGGGCTGCTACAGGGATGCAGCCTGATTTCTCAACATTTCTAGGCAATTTCTAGGATACGATGTGCAAGCCTTAACTGAGACGCGTTTGGGCCACGTCAGGCATGTAGCTTGATTTTCAGGCATTTGTGGGAAGTTTTTGGGCACGGTGTGTAGGCCATGTTCGGGATGCATCCTTACTGCAGCAAGGACGAATCCTAATTTTTAGGCATTTGTAGGCAGTTTGTGGGCACAGTGTGCCGGCCATGTCCGGGATGCAGCCAGATTTTTAGGCATTTCTTGGCAATTTCTGGGACTCAATGTGCAAGCTATGTTTGGGATGCCTCATGGCCACGACAGGGATGTGTCTTGGCCGTCGTAGGGATACATCCTAATTTTCAGGCATTTGCAGGCTTTTTGTGGGCATGATGTGCAGGCCATATTCGGGACATGTCCTAGCCGCGGTAGGGACGCAGCCTAATTTTCAGGCCATGTTCAGTATTTTTAGCTAGTTTGTTGAACATAGTAGGCAATGTTCGGGACACGTCTAGGCCGCAATAGTGATTCAACCTGGTTTTCAGGCATTTCTAGATAGTTTCATGGACACGGTGTGCAGGTCATCCTAATTTTCACGTATTTCTCGACAATTTCTTGGACAAGGTGTGCAGACAATGTTCGGGACTCGTCGAGGCTGCTATAGGGTTACAGCATGATTTCCAAGTCCTTCTTGGTGAGCAATTTCTGGGACACGGTGTTCAGGCCATGTCCTGGATGAGGCAGGGACGCAGCCAGATTTTTTGGTAGTTTCTAGGACACGATGTGCAAGCCATGACCAGGACGCGTTCGGCCCACGATAGGGATGCAACTTAATTTTTAGGCAATTCTGGAAAGTTTTTGGGCACGGTGTACAGGGCACGTCCAGGACGTGTCCTGGCCGTGGTAGGGATGTAGCTTAATTTTCAGGCATTTATAGGCAATTTGTGGGCACAGTGTGCAGGCTTTGTCCGGGACGCATCCTAGCCTCGGCAAGGACACTGCCTAATTTTTAGGCATTTCTTGGTAATTTCTAGGACTTGGTGTGTAGGCCATGTCCGGGACGTGTCACGGCCATGGCAGGGACAGAGCCTAATTTTTAGGCAATTCTAGGCAGTTTCTAGGACATGGTGTGCAGGCCATGTCCAGGATGGGACATGGACGCATCTTGACTTTCAAGTATTTTTAGGCAGCTTCTGGAGCACGGTGTGCATGCAGTGTCTGGGATGCGTCTGGGCCACGGTAGGGATGCAGCTTGGTTTCCAGGCATTTTTAGGCAGTTTTTGGCACATGGTGTGTGGGCCATGTCCAGGATGTTGTAGGGACACATTCTGATTTTTACGTAATTCTAGGCAATTTCTTCGACCCAGTGTGCAAGTAATTTTCGTGACACGTTGGGGCTGCTGTAGGGATGCAGCCTAATTTTCAGGCATTTCTAGGCAGTTTTTGAGACACGGTTTGCAAGCTTTGCCTAGGATGCGACAGGGATGCAGCCTGATTTTCAGGCATTTCTAGGCAGTTTCTAGAACACGATGTTTAGGCCATGACCAGGACGCGTCAGGGCTATGCAGGGATGCAACCTGATTTTCAGGCATTCTTAGGAAGTTTTTAGACACGGTGTGCAGACCGCGTCCGGGACGCGTCCTGGCCACTGTAGGGATGCAGCCTAATTTTTAGGCATTTGTAGGTAGTTTGTGGGCACAGTGTGTAGGCCATGTCTGGGACGCATCCAGGCTGTGGCTGGGACGCCGCCTAATTTTTAGGCATTTCTTTGCAATTTTTGGGACTATGTGTGTAGGTCATGTCTGGGACGCGTCATGGCCAAGGCAGGGACAAAGTCTATTTTCATGCAATTCTGGGCAGTTTCATGGACACGGTGTGCAAGCCATGTCCAGGATGTGGCAGGGATGCATCTAGACTTTCATGTATTTTTAGGCAATTTCTAGAACACAATGTGCAGGCAATGTTCGGGATGCGTCTGGTCCGCGGTAGGGATACAGCCTGGTTTTCAGGCAGTTTTCGGGACATGGTGTGTAGGCCATGTCCAAGATGCTGCAGGGACACATCCTTATTTCCTCATTTTTCTATGTAGCTTCTTGGACACGGTGTGTGGGTAATGTCCGGGACTCGTCTGGGCTGCGGCAAGGATGTAACCTAAACAGGGGGATACACAACAATTGTAGGGAAGGAGAAGGAACCATAGTACACTGATCATAAGAATGGCCCAATTGTTTACAAGAGAAGCAAAAAATCGGTCACTTCAAATAAATAACTGTTTGCCAAAAGCCAAGGTTACCGGCGCGCTCAATCCAAACCCTCTCGGGCAACTTATGTCCCAAATTCACCTCAGTACACACCCTTACCTCACCAGAGCGTCTCAAGTCAGAGGTGGCCTCATCGAGGTTTAGGGTTTAGGGTTAAGGGTTTTTTTTTTTGGCCTGAATTTTCCTAAGTTCTAACAAAGCGGCAGAATTTAGTTTTACTGATATTCGTAAAGTCATAGAGTGTTTAACTAAGCCAAAACACAATAAATATAGGATAATAATTATTAACTAGATTAGAAGAAGCCATTGTATGGACTTAATTGAGGAGGCATCTGAGAAGATGAGACCATGTCCATCAAATTCGTGTCCATTGTGCTTCCAAAGGTTGTACCTTGATTAATTATTGGCAGATTTGTTGTTAAATTTACGCTTCCAGCATTGCCTCCATCCCATTGATATGAAAAGTTCAACTCATCAGGATAAATCTGCAAAGCTTCAGTCTCCACGCTTCGAAAGTTAGAATTAAATTCCATGATAAAATCAGAATTCTCAGAATAGAAAAATTTATTTCCCATAGGGTTTGGAGCATAATGGAATAAGTCATTTTCCACATATTCTATAGCAGGCAGTTGAGAATCAGTTGTCTGTAAAATCTCCAGGGAAGTGAAGAAAATGGTGGGATGATTATAATTTTCATCAATGTTGAAGCTATAAGTATTCTCAGATGTGCCTTCAGCTGGATTCATTGGTTGACAATGATCGACTGGAATTGAATCGATGGACTGATTGTTTTCC